TTAAAAAAAAAAGAATGTTTTTCTTTAGGTTTTGTTGATACACAAAGCTACAGGTACACATATGTGTGTATGTAACAGGTAAATGACAACATATGGAATTTCGAGATCACATGCACACGCTGACTTTGGTAATTAGTTTAGTATTCAGTCTTCTCCAATTACAATTGATTTCTACTTAGTCAGTGTTGCTAATTGTTAGGGAAATGGGAAAATACTTTAATCATTATAGGCATGTTCTAACCTAGGTTTAACACCATAATTCACTGCTGGGTTACACGGTGCTTTAGAGAAATGGAGTCCTCCTTACATTCATTACCAAGTATACGAGAAGCTCATTGGAAGCTTTTTAACAGTGTTGCCAATAAACAGCTTGTGGGAGAGAATTTTTCCCACAGGTTTCCCCCCCTTTTAAGGCCAAGTTGGGAGGATGAATGTAGTAGGTGAAGTTTAACACGCATGTTACCTTTACTTACTTGCTACGTCTTTTATTTTCATCCATAGTTTTAATATTTTCTTGATATAAATGTGTGATTATCATCATTCCTTCTCTGTGTCAGTGTTGGTGGATGTCTCAGGAACTGTATGTGGTGTGCAGTGTAGGTTAATTCCTTGGTAAGTACATGACCATTACAGACTTTGTAGCTTGTGAGTGTCACCAGTTATTCTTGAACACCTTTGACACCGACTGAGTCTTCACATGTACCCTTCACGTGTAGCCTTCACATGCCCCTCCAAAGACTGTTTGGGAATGTGCATTGTGTCAAATCATTATTTTTTTCCATCCTGATTTGTCAAACTCTTTTTCTAATTGCTTATAATAATGATCCTTAATTAATAAGTAGCGTCAACCTTCAAGATGCCGTTTCAGAAGGAATCAAGAAGTGTTGTTCATCACAAGTCCACCACCAGTGAAACTCATGCCTTTCTTTTCGAACAGAATTTCTTAGGGAATTTAGATGTTTGCCATTGGAATGGAGAAACCTCGTTAAATATGTCAGGCCTTAAGCTTCCTTTGCTCTTCTTCCTCTCTGTCTCAGTTCCTGGCACTTTGTCTTCCTGAAGTTTTATGTACACCTATCCTACCCGTCATTTATTAAATGAATTTCTATTTGCCTGGCAGTCCTTGTGTTCAGCCTGGAGGGCTGTGTTGAAATCTAAGGACACCCTTCTGACAGGGCCGCACAGCGGATTCCCTGCATGCGGTGTCCTTCCATAAAATAATTGCACTTGCCCTCAACTCTGTTAACCCCACAAACTTATTTTGTGATGTTCTGGCCACCTCTGTGCTCTGCTCACCTGGAAGTCTCCCAGAATGTTGACAAACAGAAAGGTAAAATTGCCAGACATCCTGTTTGTTCCTGCCCCATTCACCCTTAGACTGGGCTTGTGATTAATGCTTTTCTCTTTCTTGTCAAACTTGTCTCTTAGACAGAGCATCTCTCGAAAATGAGGAAGAGTATCGTCTTTCTCACTTTATTTGTAACCCATCCTTGTACTGTGTGCAATTAAACCCTTAATAAAAGCTTCTGATGATAAGAGGTCATGTAATCAATTTTTCTGTCAGTGGTTCTAAATGAACACAAATGTATCCCAACAAATAGATCTCTAACCACACCCATGTGTGTTCTGAAATACTTGCCCCGAAATGTAGGAAGGACAGGACTTGCACCCACTTCCCATTTCACTGGATGCTGGTTTTGGCTGTGAGGCCGCTAGGAGAGTTCGCAGGATGCATTTTGAGTAATGGGATCTGTCTGTGGGCCCTGTCTATAGGCCTTGAGTTGGGAGGTATGGCAGTATTGAAATTTGAATGATGTGTTTCCCTTCTTGCATTTGGACTCCTTCATTTGAAAAAGTACTATTTGCGAATAATTGCATCCCTGTGGTTCTGTTGGCCGTACATTGCACAATGTTTCCTGATGCAGCCCGTCTTCCTGTGCTGTCACCCACACACAGATCGATACCGAGTGACACTTTTTGTTTTTCGCTTGTGTAAAATCGAGTTGTTCAGGAAATTTGAAATTCCTTTGTGGCTGCTTGTTGAGAGGATTGTAGGGGAAGGAGTAGAATTTATTTTTCCCTTTGTTTTTCTGTTCTCTTCTCTTTGCCCTCAGAAAGCTTCAAAACACTTAGTGCATTGTGGCTTATAGTTTTTTGAAGTACATTTCTCCATTAACTCTTAGTGAAAGTCACAGAAATATTATGTGATAGACAGCAAAGGCTAATTCTTTCATAAGTGGGTGACCATTACAGACTTGATACCTTGTGGTATTTTTAGGAAACGTGGGTGAGACCAGTGTATGTGTAAGTATGCGTCAACCACAGCCAGCCCCACTGCAGTTTGGTGGGGCGGTTCCCAGGACCGTCCATCGGGTTTCCAAGGTAGATCTTTATGGAAGGAAACTGCCGTGCTGTCTCCTGTGGAGCAGCGAGGGGATTAGAACTGCCAACCTTTTGGGTTGCAGCCTATATTACTAAAGCTCCGTGTGTATGTGTGTGTGTGTGTGTGTGTGAGAGAGAGAGAGGTTACTGTGTACCATCGAGTTGGAACTGACCCATAGCTGACCGTCCAGCAGGTTTTCTTTCAGAGCATTTAATCGCACAGGAGGAGATTGCCCATCTTTCTGCAGAGCAGCTGATGGCACCGAACTGTATGCCTTCGAAATTGCAGCACAACTTCTTGCCACTAGGCTATTTGCAACATCTAGCTTTTCAGAAAACACTCTAATGCTCTTTTGCACCTTGAGCTAGGTGTCTAAATGATACGGCATGATGCTTATGAAAACAAAATGCACACTAAGGTATTTGAGTGTCTGGAACCCACCCTTTCCCAGTCTTGGGCTCTGAGCTACAGTGGCACGTGCACTGAAGACGGCAGATAATGAGCGGCAGAGATGGTTAGCATGCTTGGTTACCATGGAAACATTAGTGGTCTGAATCCACCCAGAAGTGTCCAAGAAGAAAGGCTTGGTTATTAAAGAAATAAAGCGGTCTTCAAAGCACTTTGGAGCCCAGTGACACACATGAGGTGGTCATGGACTTGATAGCAACCATTATCTATCATTGCTTTAGAGAGAAATGCCCCAATTTTCTATGCTACGATGAGTCTTTAATGACACATGGAGCCCAAGGAAAACAATTTTGCTCATATCTGTGGAGATCAATTTCAAGAAGTTAATATAGACCACATAACATC